TGCGCTCAATGCCGTCCAGAATCTCGTCAACAGTCGAGCCTTCCGGAACAGTAACATGGGCGCTAAGCACCCTGCGCATCTTGCCGTTAAGGATGGCAGGCTTGGCACATTTATGCTGCGCCGAGACACCAGCATTCAACTGCTCAGTGTTAAAGAACTTATTTGTGTGAGCAGACACTGAAGCTGCTGGAGCCCAACGTGCTGCCACTTTAGCGAAGCTAACTTTCTGGGACACTGAGGGCGCAGAAGTGGATGAGGTAACAGAAGTGGTGGGAGCAGTCCCACTAACTACATTACTAAAACTGGCCTTAGGGGCCAGAACCGCTGCCTTATCGGCAGTAGTCACCTGTCTAGCCTGACCAGACTAAGCAGTAGAAGCCTTCGCAGACTTCATACCGACCAGCCTGACCCCCTTGAATATGGGCTGTTCCTTGGCACTAATGTAACCGGAAGCAGGCCCAGGGGCAGGTTGACTAGTCTTAGAACTAGACTTACCTAAACTAACTATTGTTGCCTGACTACCAGAAGAGGAAGCTACCTTAGCCTCGACTACCTCGACATCCTCGGTTGGAGTAGTGTCCTCCATCGGGACACTATCCGCCCAAGCGGCAGAAGAAATACCCTCCATGGGTATAAGAAGATAAAAGTAAGGAAAAACCCTACTGTAAAGATGGGGCCAACCGTGGGAATATTGGCCCGGATTTCTCCGCGAATACGCTAGAATGCGCAGGCAGGTTCCTCCAGTGCAAAAAGGAAAACTTGTCTCTTTTTAGTTAAAGCCCAGTCACTAAAGGGACTTGGACTTCCTCTTTCAGTAAGGAAACCTTACTAAAAGGCGCCTTTTTGGTAAAAACAAACCAAAAAGGCTGAACGATGAAGCGCCGACTTGGGTGCTGAAAAACACCCAAAACACACTGAAAAGGCAAAGACCAACCAAAATTCGATCTTAGCCAATAAGGCCGAAAAGCGATCTGCAAAATCTGCGCGGGCGAAGTCGCAGATAACAGCTAATCGTTAATAAACAGGGTAATAGCCTGATAGTCAATTGGTTAGGATGGTTGCTTACACCTCTGGAAAGATTCGCAAAACTCAAGAAATTCATCGAGGTGGGATCCATCCGAATACGTCGGGCCATTCCTAAAAAAAGCCCTCTCAGCACCCAAAAGGCGAAAAGAATTTTATATGTATAGTGTTATTGTAGGTAAAGAGGTGTTCAAAACTTTGTAGAAAGGACTATTAGGCAAATCTTAACCAATTTTGGCTATAAAATGACTCGCAAGACCAAGACATTCTTCACAAATCTTCGACAGATAATCACTTTGTCTTATCGTGTATTACGTGCTAAAATCTTCTAATCGTCGAAGCTTGGCACTTTTTCCTACAATTAGTAGCATTCGTTTGTGAAATACTTCACCTCATGCCCCGAAAATGTGTGGTTTCATCCGAATTTTCGGGTACAACAGAGAAACAAACTTTTCCTATGTTAAGTTTATGGGAGACCATTTTCCAATTCATTGGATGATAAAATTCTTGTTTACACTCTTTTTAAGATCTGATTTGCGCTTTCTAGTTTGAAAGACTTCGCTTTTAACCAATAAAAGTCGACCGAGAAGCGGCTGCCTGGAAATCTATCGGGAATAGCCACGCCCCCTCAGAGATTAGTCGTCGGAGTCAAAATGTAAACAAACGTAAAAAATTCGCCATTTTTTTTCGTTTTTCAGCTGTAATTTTGCTAATTCTCAAGTTTACACACTGTGCTAAAACGAATAAGCGTATTTTCAGAACCGTGGAATGTAAATTTTCCGCGAAACTCAATAGTTTTTGTTGTTAATAAGCGAAAAGTATGCTTATAAACTTATTATACTCAATTCTAGCTCGATTTTGAAGCGAGATATCGACTATATATACAGTATATATTGCTGATTCTATTCTATTAATTAAATGTTTATTTACAATTGCCTTGACTCTGAAATATTTCTGGTTCGTAAAAACATTATCGGCGACTATTTTGTAATCTTTTCATTGTAATTTGCAGTGTCTAGCGTAACGCAATAGACAGAAATAAAACAGAATAAGGATATAGAGGTTAATATATAGGTATATATACTGTCTATATGGACCTTATTTATTAATAGGACTTATTAACTTATTTATACTGGTGTAGTTTCTTTTGAATCTCTCTTTTGCTAATCGGAAACTACACCAGTATAATAAGTCCTATTAATTAAGTCGATGTTTCTTTGTAAAGTAGCGTATAACAAATTCAATATATTGTGTTCGACGATAGATAATTGGTCGATAGCATTGAAAAATCTGCTAGATATTTTTTTATGGTTATCTCAAGATCCTCATTTGATCGAAAATTATCAAATATTAAAGAAAGTCGACGGCCCGACCAATCAACGACAGGACTATCGATTTAATAATATTTGTTAACTTCGTTTATTCGTCATATAAATTCAGATAACGTTACAACAATCACTTCAAAATTTTACTTTACTTTTACTGTTAAAATATTCATTTTTTAAAACTTCTATTTTATTTAATAATTCAGCTTTAACTTTGATTTCGTTGTGCAATAAAGTGTAGATCATATTCTTTTCGGTCAATAACCCCTTAGTAGAAATAAATATTTTTAGATATTTAATTACATTTAGATATAAAAATAAAGATAATTAAAATTACAAACATTTAATTGATTTG